GTGAATGGAACAATAAAACTATTGGAAATACCTTTTAGTTTGCCACAAGGAAGAACAATTAGTTGATAAAAGTTGACAAGACTTTCATAATATTGATAATGTACATAGAGCTGAAGTTTAGTCACAATATTGTAGATCTCAATACAAGACTAATGAACATAAATAGTGCTAACTAGGAAAATGATGAAGTAAAATTTATAGGATTTGAATGGGGGAAAAATAACCATTTTTATATGATCTTTGTGAAAAGATTTTATTTATTTATTTACCAAAAGCATAAGTACTATTGTCATATGGTTTCGCTACATCACTACTGAAGAACAAGAAAAGTAAGAACTAAAAAAGACACACTTTTTAGTTCTAATTTTAGTATTGTTCCCACCTATTCCATATGTTTTTACGTAGTAGTTGCAATAAAGATACGATTTTATAGCATTATTTTTTCAAAATGCTATTGCTTCAACGAAACTTTTATGTAGGAAATTATTAAATGCAAAAGAACGACTTCTATAGTTGGGCATGAATTCTTAGGAAAACCACAAAGACCAATGATTAAGGATGATAAAAGAAAAAAGTAACACCCGTGTGGACCTATAGTACCTATATGAATGAAATAGTTCGAAGAAGATTAATAGATTGAAAACTATTGAAAAAGACCAGAGAACTGAATGAGGGCTCCAAAATTTAATGATGACTAATCTAAAAAGGGGCATCTAAAAGTACTTAAGTAGTTCATTGCATGCATTTATAGTAATACCATTTACCCCCATTCCATGCGTGTTTACACACACCCCAGGAAAAAATAAATTAAATAAATGAGGAACCGTGCATCTCGCCATTAAATCTTCAAGTGGCCCATGTGAAAACATGATGTACTATGAATTTTCAGAAACCAGTCTTAGTTGGAAGACTGTATTTCGTGTCATAAAGTCAGACATGTGATTGGCAATGGAAGATAAATGGAAAAAAATGCAAACATAAAATTCACCAAAACATGCAAATTGGAATGGGGAAAGTACACCGAACACGATGAGGAATACATTTACATCAATCAAAAAGACGTGAAAGGAGAGAACCCAAGTATTATTGACGGGTAATAAGAATAAGATCTGTAAGTATTATGCTTATATAGATATGAGGAAGAGTTACAGACTTGAAAATTAGAAGCTCAGAACCTACGGCGCAAAATATCTTCTTCATATATTACTTTTTGACATTTTCTCTACAAAGAAAAAATGAAGGTGGTAATTTTCGTTCGGACTGATGATCCTTCTTCTTCAAACAAAAAATCATAGCGGTAGTCCAGCTCTCTCCTTTATTCTTTGCTCGGAAAAACATGTTCCCGCAAGCTGTGTCTAGAGGTATTGTAAGCAGTTTATTTGGAGAGGAGCCAGGTACAAATTTTTTGACCAAATTATTTTGTGGGAATTCCAAAAAATAATGAAAGAAAGTTGGGAATTGGCTTTCATATGTTTAATTTGGTTTGCAATGTACTTTTATTTGTTTTAGATCGTGTAATGGAAAATGAATGGTTTTTATGTGGACTTGATCTGGCAGACTTGATCTGGCAGGATCTGATTTTAGTTAGAAAAGATCGAGTTCTTTTCTATCAGAGTCAGCAGAAAATAAATTCAGTTTTCAATGCTGTGCCAAGTTGAATTTTTTAAATGTTTTTATTTACTGGTTTTCTTAAAATCTATTTTCATTTTGCTGAATATTTCTACACATTTTTATAGTTAATGGTCGTCTGCTTTTATTCGTTCAATTTTTAGAAGCTTTTGCTTGCTTAGAATTCTTTTTTTTTTTTTTTTGTTTCATTTGTTTAAAGGTTTTTATTTAAACTGGAACCTTTGTGTTTGCATTTGTCTGTCGAGTATTGGATTGGTTCTGTAGATTGATTAAGTTAAATTTGTGAATTTCAGTGTGAAATGAAGGGAACTTATACAGTTGCATCAGAGGAGATTAACCATGTTGTGTCTAAAACTAACAATACTAACTGCACTTTATCCAAGGTTGCAAGCATGACTATTGGTTTGTCTAAAGGTAACACAAGCTTTTTTTGAAGGTATGTTTAAGGATATGGGGCTAAATAAATTGAAAAAACAGAGCAATTCAAAAAAAACAATGAGGATGAGGGGGCAGTAGCGGCTGCAGCTTTTGCGACTCCGATTAATCACAACATTGTTGCTGCACCATTAGTAGTGATCAAGATTATGGAGATTCGAGGGTAGGAGGAGAGCGTGTTGGAAAGACCAGAAAGGAGAGAACAAGTGAGAAAGATGCCAGTGGTGATTATGGTAGTGGTGGAAAAAGAGTCAACAAGACTAATGCTGAATATTCAGCAACTGCTCCTTTTCCTGTAAGTGTAAGACCGTTCTCTCATATATTATACATTTACATGTATAAGATCTTTTGGAGTGCTATAATCCTAGATTTTTATATTGCATGGCCATCGGTAACTGCATTAAATTTTCTGAGGACACTAATACATCTAATCGCCAATTATATGGACAATTCAGCCAGCCAAGTTCTATCCATTGAGTAAAGGGAGGATTTGTTGCCTTTTCTCTACTATTTTGTTATTTCCCCCCTTAATCCCTTGATTTTCTTTTATTTCCTTTCGGGGATTACCTGATTACTTGCTACCAGAAACCGAAGCACCTATGCTTGCTGCTGCTTTCGTCTTGGATAAATGCGTATTGAATTGCTTAAGAACTCGTATAAGTAAACACCCCAACTATCTCTTCAATAAATTCAATGCAAAATTGGTTAAATAATACAAGCATAGAGATTGCCACACATCTAGGATGAGGGAATAACACAGACTACGGGTGCTTGATAGGTGTACTGCACTTCTTGATGGATTTCATTATATAATCAGTTACTTTCAATTTTATTGTATGATTAACAATAAGGTCTTCGAGTTCACCATTTTTTTTTTTTTAACCTGAAATAATACTCCAAAAGTTCATAATTTCTGCTAGGAAGCATAAGAAACCTCATGACTTATAAATTTAAGTTAAGGAGAATGGTTGAGTTCATTACACTTAGATACTGTATACTTCTTCTATTTCATGAATAATTGTAGTAAAACATTTTATGTGGTTTTATTATAGTATGAGTGGACCTTTCTTCTCTTCTTTCAACAAATTTCAATTGCTCTCTATTATTCGCATTACCCAAAAATTATTTTTGGGATAAGAAATCTTTGCCCACACCCACCCCCATGCCCAACCCCAAAAAAAAAAAAAAAAAAAAAAAAAAAAAAAATGCCCTTTTTTACTCAAGTGTATAATAAGCAACACAACGTATTAGAAACATTCTTCAAACAAGAAAAAGAAATGAAAAGAAAGAGTTACCTTCTTTATCCCATATAAAGGCTTGCTCCCGCGAAAAAATTAAACAAAAATCAAGAAAAATAACAAAATTTAACGAACAAGTGTCTCTTGATAAGAAACTAATAAGTTGAATAAATGAAACTATATCATTATTTTAATGAAAAAAATAACAAAAGTAGCATACCCAAGGTGGTAGAGTTGCTTTGCTTTGGTCCCAACACCAAAAATTATGGTAAAGGGGATTATGGATTATGTAGAGTTAAATAAAGGGTTAATTAAACTGACAATCACTAATATTTACCATAGTTATATCCAAATGCAATTTGATTCAGTATATGAAGTAGAAGATTTTATGGAAAAGTGAAACCATCGTCAACAAAAATAATTTTCCGAAACGTCTAATTTTGGAAAAGTTAGGTTCAATTTTGAGTGGAAATGGCCCATTAAGCCAAACTCAGTGATGCGTCTAGACATTCGACCTTTTTCGATTACATTCCATTGTTTATGGCTCCTAAAACACGTTTTTTGGTTTTTTAAATAATTATTTTATTTAACAAAAGTTAATTTCATTTATTGCGGATTAATTTTGAATATTAGAAGTTCTAATTTTTGTCACTATCTTTAATTTTCGTCATTATGTAGAAGTTGTCATTATTTGGAGTACAGTCGTTATCCAATTTTAGTTATTGCTTTAAATATGGGTTGCAAGCCTGATTCAGTTAGTAGATTTTGATTATAATGAAAAATCTTGAAAAGTTTCTTTCAATATTCTCTCTGTCTTGATATTCATGAATGAATAAATAAGTTTGAGCTTTCACGTGAGATTTTATTCTTTTGTATGACCATCTGCTACGTTACCGTCACATTACCTAATTTCCACATTTGTGCTTCATGAGTCTATGCCATGGAATTACCTAAATTGATTGTTCACTAACGAGTAAAGTAGACTAGATTCTTTTAGTTCGAAAGTTTATCCAGTGTGCACCGAAAGATAGCGGCTACGGATTCCCTCGTCATAAAAATAAAAATAAAAATGTAGACTAGATTCCATCTTAATGAACTAACTAGCCATGTCATCACCATATTAAAAATCCCATTCTTATTGCCACTTGAGAATGCTTTTCCTTCTCTCTATCATCGGTCGACGAGAATGGGAATAGGGTTTTAATATTGGGATGACATGGCTAGTTAGTCGACTAAGATGGAAAAGTGATCCGCTTATTAGTTTTCGCAGCAAACACAGCCAATTCCGTTACATAAAATTACAGAGTACAAATAATTGCAATTAAATTGAATTTAAGTGACTTAAGTTCACTAAATTGAAGTTGTGTGACCTAATTGTAGTTACGATGAATGTTGAGTGACTGCTCGCATAAATACTCGTTAAATAAATAAACTATTTGAAATTATGGGAAATCATTTAACTATTTCCGGCACTGAATTTCATTTGAAAAATTCATTGATGTCAAAAATATATATAGAGAAAGTTCGTAATTAAAATTTCAAATTTGTCAATCTTTTAATTAATATTCCATTATTGCATAAAATCAGATCAATGACTATCCGTTACCCAAATTAACGAATATATATACACACACACCGTTCTGATATTTTAAATTGATATCATTTCCATTTTTTTTTTCAATTGCTCATTATATAAATACAAAGTTTTAACGTTTTCTCTCTACAAATTGGCAAAAATGATGAAGCTCAAATGTTGGATCTTGGTAAAGTTGTTAACATTAAATGTTCTGACAGTTCTTTGTGCTTCACAACAATTTGATTTCTTCTACTTTGTTCAACAGGTCAGTAACACATAGTATTTGTAATTAACTCGAACTTTATTTTTGGGGTTTTCTAACCTGTTCTTGATATTATGTTAATTGAAGTTGATACCTTACTAGTTCAAAGATCGAAGGTTGAGATGCAAATGTCAAGAAAAACTGGAAAATTGAATGCTCTATTTTTCTTTATCTTTTGGGCTTTTCTCAAAGAGTAATTTTTCAAAATCTATAATGTATACAGTGGCCAGGATCATATTGTGATTCGAAAGAATGCTGTTATCCAAATACAGGCAAGCCGGCATCTGATTTCGGCATCCATGGCCTATGGCCCAATTACAACGATGGCTCGTATCCATCAAATTGCGACCCACAAAGCCAATTCGATCCATCCAAGGTACGCAAAATTAGATTCACTTAATTTTTCCAAGTTTTGAGTTCTATTCGAACATAAAAAATTGCTTATAATCCTTTGTCCTAACGCAAGTATTGTCCGGTCTGGTTCGGTCCGATCCTGTCCGTCTAGATTTCGGACTTGACTAGTAGAATCCAAAAAGAATGGCCATCTTTGGCATGTCCAAGCAGTGACAACCTAGATTTCTGGTCTCATGAATGGGTCAAACATGGAACTTGCTCTATGTCCGATCTTGACCAGCACGATTACTTTGCTATGGCCCTAAATCTCAAGGAACAGATCGATCTACTGCAAGTCCTAGAAAAATCAGGTTAAATTACTTTTGTCAAAAGTAAATTTTGTTCGTAATATAAGTAAATTAGAACATTTATCAATGGTGTCACTTGTGACTCGATACTAAAAATGAGATACTTCGGCACAGGTATTCACCCCAATGGAGAGGTCTATGACTTGGGTTCCATCAAAGATGCAATAAAAGAAGGCACCGGTTATACGCCATGGATAGAGTGCAATAGAGATGAATCGGGGAACAGCCAACTTTATCAAGTCTACATGTGCGTGGACACTTCGGGGTCTAACCTTATTGAATGTCCAGTGTTCCCTCATGGAAAATGTAGTTCCAGTATTGAGTTTCCCTCCTTTTAAGTAGAAAACGTGCTAAACAGTATTGATCAAGACATGGAGACGGTAGCATGAACAAGATTTTAGCGTCTTTTTCGTTTACTGTTGTTCAATACTGTGTACCAAGCATGTGTTATCTCTTTCCTGTTTTTCTTTCCTGTGTAAGTACTTTCCTTTGTTCTATTCTTCCAAATCCTCGCGTCTATGGTGTTCACATGTTTACTCAATTTAAGAGCTCGACTCTTGAACAAAATTGAATTTGATTTGTTTATTATTCTCATCTAAACAAGTTTTTGATTAATCAAATTCTAGCTTCAATGATAAAGTGCCTAAAGATCATCAAGAATTCCAAATATTCCTAGTTTTCGGTTTTCTGATTCAAGTTATTATCTCTCTCTGTAATACGGGATTAGGCGTTAATTCATAACAAAAGAGATCAATAATATGAACATAATATGCTGCATCTTTATACAAATATTTTTCAGAAAAGTCATTGAGGTTCATCATTATACACATATATTTTAGTTTCCATTGACATTATAGTACTAATTATAACAACCTTTGGCTCCAAACACCTGTCAAGGATGTTTCTGGGCACTAAAATCCCCATTGGTCTCATCAACTGCCTTGCAGTTCAAGTCTATCTGTTTTGGAGTTGAATCAAAATCACTCATGAATTTTTTGTTCAAATCCAGGTCCCCTAATAATCCCAATTTTCTCACTTTTTCATTCTTGCCTTCAACTTCATATTCTCTGCTTCTTTTTGGTGTTCCAAGTTCTCGAGGCTCGTTTAATCCCATAAATGGTCGAGTTTCTTCTTTTCTCCCCGAACTCTCAGACGATGTTAAAGAACTCTCGACTGAACACCCATTGTGTCCTAAAAGTTTGTTCTTTCCATCTTTTAAGATTGAGCCGTCACTCTCTGTCAAAATGGACAACGAAGAACTTAGACACCAGTTCGTGTCGACCATTGATACTAACTGAGAAAGTTCTGCCCGTGCATTTTCTACTTCGATAGAGCAAGAACTATATCCAGCAAGAGTCTCTTGTGCTTTTTTCAATACTGACTGCAAATACTTTCCTTGAGCTTCAATTTTTATCTGCAAATGCCTTTGCACCTGAAGGAAAATTCTTTTTAATCATCATATGCTGTGTTTATACACAATCGACGAAGCGTTGAAGTGTAGATTTGTACGTTGTACCTCGATTTGTTCGTGGAGTTTCCTTTGCACCTCCATTTGCATTTGTAGAGCTTGAGCTATCTGAAAACTTCTGAAAAAAACATAACTCCAAATCAACAAAACATATCTCTTTATTTTGCATTCAATTTTTTTTT